AAAGAAAGAAAGAAAACACATTTTTTATTTTAGTAGTTTATATTTATACCTGTCAAGGTTTCAAGGGAAGAAAACTCTTTTATATAGCCCTCGTAAAGTCATAAAACTTTTGAATATGAAGAGACCTTTGAGTTTAATCTAATCTTCTCTTCTGTTATAAATAAGGAAATGAAAGTCTAAAGATGGAAATCAGGCTAGAAACATGGCTTAGTGGTAGAGTGCTTGCCTAGCATGCATGAAGCCCTGTGTTCGATTCCCAGTACCACATAAACAGAAAAACTAGAAGTGGCTCTTGTGGTCAAGTGGTAGAACGCTAATCTTGCAAGAGAAACTCAGGGACAGAGTCAGGCCCCGAGTTCAAGCTCCAGGATTGGCCAAAAAAAAAAAAAGGATGGAAATCAACTTGGTCAAGGTCATACAACATGTAAATGACAGGGCTAGAATTTGAAACTAGGTTCCCCTTATAGGCCAGTGTCCAACTTCTTCAGTACAGCCTTCCCTCTGGACCATCCATCGTTCATTGCTATTTATAATATACCCTTTGTGCTCTGGTTTTAGGTAACTGTGAAGAATATAAGCTTTTATTTAGGTTGCCTTTGGTCTTTAATTGATTTTAGATAAATCTCACAGGAGAAGGTTACTGTACTTGAAACTGGTAAATATGGAGTACCATAAACACAACTCAGATGAGTCAGAAGGTTTATTCTGGGTTTTTTTTCTCTCTCTCTCCTATTCCCCTGCTCAGAATTCTTGTTTAGTTTTCTTTAAACTAAACTCTCTTAGGAGAATATGAATGTCAAGGCTTTTGCTCTCTTTGTGGTTGACAACTTTATTGGAGAAGTAATTAAATGAATTAAATGTTTTCTCTTTTTTTCTTTCCTTTCCTTTCTTCCTTTTTATTTTCTGTATCAGAGATAAAACTCAGAATATTGTACTTGCTAGGCAACACTCTATCACTTGTGCCACACCCCCAGTGACCTATATTACAGTCGTGTGTGGCTATGTGTGTGTCACTTAGCTGGTCCAAAGTTTGTTTGACCTTTCTCTCTCATTTTGTCTTTGTCTCTTGATCACTTGCTCGCTTTGGCTCGCTGGCTCACTGTGGCTGGCTTGGCTTTCTTTTTCTGGCACCTCTCTTGGGGTTTGGCCTGGGCACTATATAGAGCTTTTTTGTTCAAGATTAGCACATTTATCACTGGAACTATACTCCACTTCCAGCCTTTTGGTGATTAATTGGAGATAAGTAGCTCTAGGGAGCCCAGAGCCTGTGGCTCGTGCTCACAGGCTCCTGTAATCCTAGCTACTCAGGAGGCTGAGATCTGAGGATTCTGGTTCTAAGCACCACTTCTGGCTTTTTTCTTTTTGCTTATGTGGTGCTGAGGAATCGAACCCAGGGCCTCAGGCATGCAAGGCAAGCGCTCTACCACTGAG